ACCAATTTAAGGATTATTATTTATTCCTGTTATTACACCATTATACAATGCCATTCTTCGCCGAATGATTTTTCTTGTCTGAAACTGTTGCGGAGATTAACAGTGTTCTCTCAGTTAGAAATAACATGGTGAGTCTTTTTCTATCTCTTTGTTCTTAATCTATCTGGGCCTTTATATTAGCACTAATGTGTTTGTTATAAAGAACATATGTGACCCCTGCCCTACATATATGCCCAAGAGAGCTAACAGTAGGAACTCAAACAGATATCGACACAGCAATGTTTTGGTAGATAAATGCATGAATAAAATGTACCTATAATAGAATATTATTCAATCTCAAAAATGAATGACCTCTTGCTACATGCTACCAACACAGATATATCTGGAAATCTTTATGCTTATGAAAAGAAACTAGACACCAAGGATATATATTGCATGATTCCATTCATATGGTAGATCCAGAATGTGTAAATTCAGTCATAGAAAAAGTAGTAGTCTCTATATGGAAAGAGGGAAATGGGAAATGGAAGTCAGGGTTTCTTTGAGTCTGGTAAAAATATTTAAAAATTGATTATGGAAGAGTGTCTTGTAGCACAAGTTTGCGGATATACAAAACACATGAAATTGAATACAATGAGGAAATTTGTCATATGTGAATCATGTCTCAATAAAAAAATACAATACAAAGATGGGTAAAGGGATGGAGATAGACACCTTTACTGTAGAAAGTGTTAAAATGTTAGTTTTGTTAATAAAAACATATTACTTTATTAGGTGCCTGTTCAACTTAATAGAGATTGAAAATATTGAAAATATTTAAATATTCTTCTGAGGCAATAAAGTTGGTTTGTTTATTAATATTGTGTATATACAGAGGTGGTCTGGGAAGAAGTTTCTGGAGTTGGTTATCTTCTTCCACCGTGGGATCTGGTGATTGAGCTCAGACCAGCAGGCATTCCAGAAGTTTACCTGATGAGCCATTTTGTCAGTGCTCTCTGAAATTTTTCCAAAAATATTTTTTAAAGATTTTATTTATTTTTATTTTATCTGTATGTGGACTTAGCCTGCATGTTAAGTGCACAATTTCCATGCGGTATCTATGGAGGTCTGAAGAGGGCATCGAATCCCCTGGAGCTGGAGCTACAGGGTGGGTTTAAGAAGATGGATGTGGGGACTAGGAATTGAACCTGTGAGTGCTTTTCAAATGCCGAGCCATCTCTCTACCCTCCCTCTGAAAACCTTGAAGAGTAACTTCTGATGCATCAAACAACGTGGACACATCTCCAAAGCATGTTCAAGGGAAGGAAGTGAGGCCCAGAAGCCTGTGTGTTGAGTTACTTTATGTGAAGTCTAGGCCAAACTAGTGGCTAACTGAGGTATACTGAGCTAGGCCATGGATATACAGAGTTTGCAGTTTGGAAGATGAGGAGCTTAAGTATATTAACAGTTGTGGCCGTTGAACAACATTCAGAATACAGTTACAGTGACTGACCTATATGCTGAAAATGCTTAAAATTCTGCTGGGCATAGCTTATGAAGTTTTATCACTAAAAGGTAGACGCAAATACAATGGTTTGGGTTAAACAAAATTCTACAATAGTCAACAGGAATGTAAATTGGTCAGAAGTGGGCGAAAAGAGCCTATAGGAAGGCCTGGATGACTGTTGCACTCCTGCACACAAAAGGGGGAAATTGACCAAGATGTCACTTTGCAGTATACATTGTATTTCAGTTACAAGCAGAAAGATTAGCATCCAGGGATATCTGGCAGAGACAAGTTGCTTGCTTGCTGCTAAGTGTAATGTATATCTAAAATTCTAGCACTTGGCACTCAAGAAGACTCAAGTGAGGGAGCTGGGATCTCGAGTTCAAGGTCAGCCTGGATGCATAGTGAGACCCTGAGCAAAATAAAAGTAAATAAATAAAATCATCAGCTTGCAAGGATTCCTTGAATGGGAGGCACGTTTGTGGTTAGAGTAAAACAGAGAACAGGTCCATTGGTTGAGGGTGGGGAGGTTGGGGAATCACAAGGCAAAGGTCTGCAAGGTCCCAGTAAAACAAGGAAACTCCCTGCATTAGAAAGAGAAAACAGTTTTGTACCTAGCACCAGCCAAGTGAAAGTGTTAAGCCAAACCCTGAGTTCTGGGAACAAGAGCACTTCTGGGATTCTGAGCTTTCTGTGATCTAAGATGCTTTGTGGGGGGTAATGACGCAAAGGGCAGGATGGGCCTGCTGAGCAGGGACTGTGCCTTCCTCCACCTCACCAACAGAAGTTGAGACTGAGGCTGAGGCCCTTGAAGGCGAACTTTGGAGCTTTGCTGTTTTAAAGACTTCACCCCTTCCATTTCCTCTTGGAATCCAGCACCACTAAGGGCCCAGAGAACAGCAGCTTGGAGCATCAGGCCCCAATAACTTTAGTTTGGACACTTTGCAGTCTCTCCCAGAGCAATTCTTGGGCAAGGTAAGTGTGGGTGGGGGTATGGGTAGGAGGTCAGGAGGCTGACTAGGCCAGCCTAGTAAGCACATATGTAAGCATCCATTTCAGACGACCAGAAACACTTAGCAGGAATCTTGTGCTCAATCGGGGTGCAGGGTGTGATGCCTGAAGCCCAGCAGTCCTGCTAGAGGACTGGTGGGGAGTTAGGCCCACAAAACTTAGGGACCGATGGCTGAGGTGAGCTCAGTCTGCCCAAGCCTGGATAGGCCAAATGAGTGTGCGCTACTGACTATGCTCACTATATATGCATGTGTTAAATGTGCATATCTTAAAAACACAAATCAAACTGGTCTGAGAAGATGGTTCAGAAAGTAAATGCATCTGCTGCCAAGACTGTTGACCTGAAATTGCATCCCTAGAAGCCACATTTTAAAGAAATGATGTCCACATGCACACATATCCCCCCAACACAAAGGAAAGAACATGTTACGTCCTCTAGGACTAGCAGAGGTTTTGCTTAAAATAAAATTAAAAATTACATCTATATTAACACATATCATGGTGTCCTAGTACATATTTGAAATTTTTTCCATGTATACTTTATTTTTTTATTTATAAAAGTTTATTAATTTATAAAAGTTTTCATTTCCGCCCCTCCTCCCAACACCCCCCCATCCCCCCACTCCCTCTCCTCCTCCCTCTCCATCCCTAAGAGCAGTCAGGGCTTCCTGCTCTGTGGGAAGTTCAAGTTCCTCCCCCCTCCCTCCAGGTCCAGGAAGGTGAGCATCCAAACAGACTGGATCCCAAAAAGCCAGTATATGCAGAGGAAACAAGTCCCAGTGTCATTGTCAATGGCTTTTCAGAAAGACTCCAGGCCAGCCACATTCAGAGAATCCGGCCACATTCAGAGAATCTGGTTGGATCACATGCTCGTTCAGTCCCAGTCCAACTGGCCTTGGTGAACTCTCATTAGATCAGTCCCCTTGTATCAGTGGGTGAACGCACTTGAACATTCACTTGAGACCATGTTCCTGAGAGCAGAAGGTTTGCTCAGTGCTGGAGTCCTATCACCTATTCCCCACTCCTCTGTGTCCTTCACTGTCACATACAATTTCCTGCTTGGCCCCTTCCATTGTGGCAGGATCGAGGGCTAGCTTTACTCCTTCCCCATGAGAAGAAAACTGCAACAAACATCTGTGTGCCTCCCTACCCCAACTTCCTCCATGTGCCCACCAACCCTTTCTCTCCAAAGTGTGCTAATTAAAATAACTGAGGTGTGAGAGGTTACAGGATGCTGCAGGCTTGTGACAGAGATGGAATTTCTAGTCAAGTCTTCTTGTTCCTCCAAGCCGGTGCTCCCCCTATACACACCCTACCCACACCCCACAATAAGTAACTGAAAGAACAAAATCGATGTGTGAAGAAGTCACATACTAGAGCCACAGAACCACTTTTATTTAACTGCTACCACAAATGCAGAACAGAATTAAGACAGTATAATACATTTCGCTTTCGTCTTATAAGCTCGTATACAGTCAACTTTGATTAAAATGTCCATTTAAATCAGCAATTGAAATTTCATTTAAATGGCAGCTTCTTCTTGGGTCTTACAGAAAAATCGCGTTCAGAACTGACAAGAGACTAACTACTTCACAGATTTATTGGTGCTGGCAGCTTTTCCTCTTTGACCCCTACCCCCAAACCAGAAGGGTCACAAAGACAAAGCTTTTTAATACGTCATTTGCTTCTAGCTTTCAGGTGTTGCCTCAATCTTTAAAGGAAAAACAAAGATGTAAAGCCTGATGGTGTCAAAACATGAAGTGTTTAAAAGAGTGACTGTGAATTATAATATTACAAATATAACTATAATTGCCACTTAGGGTTACCAATCACAAAAAAATTACATACACATGAATCTATTTCTGTGGAAACAAAAGAATGTATGGGTCAATGCTTGAAAAACTCAAATGACCAAAAACAGGCTAAAAACATCTCATCATTTCCAACCGAATGTATAAAAACCAGCACCAAAGCTTAACTTTACTCAAACTAGGATCAACTTAATATGACATACCATTTCTTTTGCTACTTGATCTGACAGACTTTAATAAGAATTTATCTAATTCTGTTCTTCATATGGGGGACATTTTTTGTCAAGAAAATCTTGAAACCCAACTTTCAAATGTTTGAACTTCATCATAAGTCCTTTCTGACTGCTAAAAAGTTACAGCACAAAGTTACACACTTACAGCATAAAGCTGTGAGGTCACAGTCACATTACAGAGCTGACCACCAAAATGGCCTTGGCCAGTATGCATGCACTCCTTCCCCACCCCTGGGAATGGGAGAAGAAAGCAGGAGGCAGAAGAAATCAGGAATTGGGGTAGGGGTGGTGGCTGAAAGAGTTGGTGAGGATCAAAGCAACAGATAGTTCAGAGATCACTGAGGGCTGAATCACAGACGTCACACGTGGAAATTTGTTGTCTAAGATAGCAAGAATATACAGACACTTTCAAGAGTACAAGGTGCCAAAGAGGAGGATGCCTGAAAGAGGGATGGAACTTCTACTGTGTCTGGAGGGGTCCATGTCTGTGTGTCCATGTCTGGAGGGGTCAGGCAGTGTGTCTGTGCCATGGAGATGTCTCCCTCTGGACTGCCCAAGCAGGGTGAACTGTAAAGAACACTTTCACACAGCCATCTCATCAGAACAATCGGAATCATCAGAGTCATCATCAATAAGCACGACCTTACGGTAATCATCAGCGGGAATGGGGATCACAGTGGAGTCGGGAAGAGAGGCAGAGGTGGCAGCAGACTCCGGGAAAACAAAAGGAAAGTTGGAGGCAGTAATGCCAGGTTTGAGGTGGCCAGTAGTGGTCATCTCAAAGCAATGGGAGGCTGAGACCTCAGGGAGGTCAACAGCAGTGAGCACAGAACGGCTGGTGGTAGCAGGCTCGAGATAGTCAATAGTGGTGGTTGCAGTGTGGCTGGTACCAGGCTTAATGTAACCTGCAGTGGATGTAGGATGGCTAGGGGAAGAGCCAGCAGAGGTAGGATGACTAGTGACAAACTTGGAAGCAGCCCTGAAATGAACAGAGTCTCCCTTGAAATAAACAGAGTCCCCTTTGAAATGGACAGAGCTGGGTTTGAAATGGACAGAGGAGGCTGGCTTAGGGTAGACAGAGGCAGACTTGGGGTGGCCAGAGAGAGACTTGTGGTGGATAGAGGCAGGTTTGCGGTAGACAGAAGCAGACCTGGTTTGGGGCTTAGGGTGGACAGAGGCAGAATCAGAGTGGGCTGCTGCCTCATCACCAGGCAGTAGAACATTCCGGATGTTCCTTGGGGTTCCCTCCTCAGCAAGACAGACACGGGCATGCTCTTGCTCTCGGGCTTGATCACGGGCACGGGCACGGGCACGGGCACGGGCACGAGTGAGAGCTCGGGTCTCCCGAGCCTCCCGAATATCAGCGATGAGCCGAGAGATGAAGAGGATAGGGTGTCGCAAAGCATGGAAGATGGTCCAGTATTCTCGTCGGAAACTCTCATTAAGGATACCGTAGATGACAGCATTAAGGCAGCTGTTGAAGTAGGCTACGCAGTAGGCTGCAAGATAAAGCCAGTTGGGGATCTTGCCTGCCATATCCTTTGGACTGACAGCCACCAACACAGTGAGCACATTGATAGGGCACCAGCACACTGCAAAAAGGAGGAAGATCACAAACATGGTTAGAAAATTTCGAACCTCAGCAAACTGATTCTCAGGATTCTGTCCGGCTGGGTCACGGGCTTCCAGCACTCTGATCCAGATTTTGGTGTAGCAATAACCAACTATGATGAGAGGGAGGACAAAGTGGATGCAGACAATGGTCACAGTGAAGGAGGGGTTGTTCAAATAGTTGAAGATACAGGAGTAGGTGCGAGGATCATACTCAACGCTGGAAATGTACATGTTAGGCACGACAGCCAGGATAGTCATGACCCAGGTAACGACCAGGTAGATGCAGGTATTGCGCAGGTTGAAGATCCGCTTGTATTGGAGGCTGTGGCAGATGTAGCAGTAACGGTTGATGGCGATGGCCGTAATGTTGAAGATGGAACCCACTACACTCAGTCCAGAGACGAACCCGACGAACTGGCATTGGAGCTGACTCAGATCCCATTCTCCAACTGACATGGCATACAGCATCATAGGGTAAGGATAGATGGCCACCAGCATGTCTGCCGCGGAGAGGCTGGCCACGAACAGGTTGCCTGGAAAACATCAGAGGAAGAAAAAGAAGGAGAGAGACAGAAATAAATGGTTAATGTTTGGAACGCTACCTCCCCAAAAGAAAAAGACCAATTGGATGGGTGACAATTTAGAATACTAGATTTCCTTTGAACAAAACCAATTTTCTTCCTTTCTTCTTCCTTATTTACAAGCAGGTCCCAGGTGGCTCTGATGCATAGCAAGTTCTGTGCTTTGCCAACCTGTTGTTTGTTTGCTGTGTCATCCTGCTCTGAGAAAGAAGTGAATATAAGACAGAGTGAGAGAAACAGCACAGAAACATCGTGGGGTTGGGGGGGGGGCAGAGTTTTAAGGACGCCATTTTAGAGAAATACAACTACGCCACATTTTCCACAGTGGAAGAGACGGAGAAGGAAGAGTGGGAGAGAGGGGAGGTAGATGGAGCTGTCCAGAAGGAGAATCCACCTAAAATTAACAAAGATAGTAATAATTTATTAACTCTCTTCCTTATGAAGGAAGGCCTACCTGCCAAGAGACCACCCTGAGAAGGCCTAGGAGGCTTCTTCAAAGAGATCAAACATCCCAGTGAAATACTTACCATTCCCCAGCTATTTTCAGAGTAAAACTTAGGAGAAGGAAACCCTGTAATAGCAAGTATGAAGTCAAAGAGAGTGATCAGGAGGAAGGAGAAATCCCTGCTAGTGTGGTTTTACCTCCAGCCATACACAAAGCATCCTGCACAGACTCCCCTTGAGCACAGGAGTCTGCAGGCTGAACAGGGAAACAGCCTGAGGAAACCCTGCCTCCTCCTGCCTCCTCCTGCCTGGCCTCGTTCAAAGGACAGCAGGAGCAAATGTGTGTGTGTGTGTGTGTGTGTGTGTGTGTGCCCCCGCGGGGGGGGGGGGTGTACATTTTTGTAAAACCCTTTACAAAACATAGACGAAAGAGGCCAAGTGCAGGCACAGGGTCCTCTTCTTTGAGAACACCTTATTGCTAATTAGCATTGGTTTGGCAAAACACTGAACTTTGTCCTGGAATGGAAGAAAATGAGGGCTTTTTAAAAGGGCACCAAGACTTCCCTCCGTGCTTTTCGACAAAGGGGATTCTAAGGCTTTGCCTCAAAGTAATAAACTTCCAAAAGAAAAATAGGAAAGAAAGGTCAAAAACCTTAAAAATAAAACGACAACAACCACAAAACAACTTTTATTTGCAATTTATAAGAAAAGAGATAAGAAAGAAAAGGAAAGGAGACAGAACGGAGGAGCTTTGCAGGTAATTCCCCACCCTCCATAGATCTGCCCTTGGGTACCTACTCAAGAGGGGAGGGAAGGTGAACTCCAAGGCTCAGCCTCAGATCTCTGGGTTACCAGAGGGAAATCAGAAGCACTCACAGTAGTTTGAAAGAAAATTTGTAACGACTCTGAGTCTGTCACTGAGTTTTGAGGCTTGTCCCGCACCAAGCAATTCACTAGTATGCTGCCCTGCTTCTTCCCCCAGACCCAGGCCACAAGGGTCTCTGTGGTTCCCAACCCTCATAGATCTTCTGTACATTCTCTCAAGCCGCTGAGATCTTGGGAAAGACGACCCAGGGCGCCACCATCACCTTCACCCAAGCGGAGAGTGGAGTTGGGGGTTTCATCACCCGTCCTCCCCTGGCCCACAACCTTCTCCCCGCCCCCCTGAAAACCAGACCGACAGCTTTCCAATTCTCAATTACTCACTCCCCTCTTCACTTCCCCACCCCATCCCCCCTCCCCCCCCCTCCGCACAGGTCTCAGTGCCCAGCACCTTCCCGCGCAGTCCGCCTTGGATCTGTCCTGGCTGGCGGCTAGGGGAGTCCCGCTCAGGTTCCACACCCAAGCGCTTTGCAATAGAAGCCCCTCATCTTCCCAGGAGCTCTCAAACTGCCCTCCAGCCGCCGTTCCTACCTTGTTCTGCCTCCTCCTTCCACCCGCTCACCCGCTCGCCCGCCCGCCCGTTCGCCCGCCCGCTCGCCACCGCGCAGAGCTCCAGAGCCCCTCCGCCGCCCTCCTTGTAACTCCCCAGTACAGACCTCCGGATGCCCGCAACCGCCGCAGTCGCCAACACCGCCACCGCCGCCGCCATCGCTTGCAGGGTCCAGCCCGCCGCTCGCCAGTCCCAGCCGCTTACTCTGGGACAGGCAGACTGAGCTCGGCTCCGGCGGGCTCAGGTCGCCCTGCTAAAGGGAGGCGTGGGGTCTGCACTACGCGGCGCCGCTGGGGAGCGATCCGGAAGCCCTGGAGAGGCGGCGAGCAGAATCCCCGCCGGCCTTGGGGACCGTCTCAGCGCTGCGCTCCTCTGAGCGCCGCCGCGGCCGCCCCGAACTTAACTTCCCAAAGAGGATCGCAGCCACGCTGCTCTCTCCGAGACAGTTCGGCTAGCAGTGCCTCAGCGAGGCCACCCGCCCTTCCGGTGTCCAGTTCGGCCGGCTGTCCCCGCTCCTGTGCCGACTCCCTCCGTGTCCAGTCTCCGACGGGACAGGGGTTGGCGGGCTATCGCGCACCCTACAAACCTGGGCTTTACATTCGACTGGCCCACGCTAATTTCCTGAGCTCCCCCAGCACTATGAAGCTCGAAATTTAGGGGAACCCGGGAAAACATCATCCCTACCGCATCCCGCCCCCCCCCCCCGAGCTTGGGAGGAATTTGGGAGAGGGGATTGCAAATTATTATTCACCGGGTAGGGAAAAAGAGGGTGGCTTACCAGAATTTCGGAGCCTCTTGTTCTTGGTCACAGCCAAAATGACCATGGAGTTGCCGATCAGGTCTAAGATGACGGTGACAACCATCGCACAGAACATAAAGGTGATTAGCGCTGGTGGGTAGTCCGGCTTTGGCAGTTTACAGCCAATGCAGCCGAATGGGGTGGGAACCGCCTTGGTAGGTCCCATGTTGCTCTTGGGGACCGTGGCCATCCCTCCTAAGCAAGCTCAGGATCCTTGGTGAGTCCGGCAACGAATACCTGCTCCGCCACCCGGAGCTCCGGGAGCTCTGAAGAAGCGTGGTGCTCTCTTGGAGGCTCAGAGAGCAAATGACAGCTCCCCGCCCCTCTTTGGTGAGCTTTTAAAGCCTCTAGGAGCGGGTAGCCCCGCCCTTTGCCCCTCCCCCTAACCAATCAGAGCTCTTTGACCGCCCCCCCACCCCACCCCCGCCTTAGTCACCACCTTCCCCAGGACGAATCCACTGCAAGGTGTCCTCTTGCTTCCGACTACCTTGTTTGTGCTTCCCCTCCTCTCTAGCTAGCCTCCCTCCCGCCCCTGTGAATTCCCCAGGTACCTTGCTTCGTGACTAGCTCAGAGTCAGAGTCGCTAAACATCCATTTCTAGCAAGTTCTCCTTCTCCCTCTAACACAAATGCCTGTTAAAGAAATGTGGCTTGCAGAAAGGGCTCATGGGGTGCTTTTGGGGTCTAGTGCCAGTCTGATCAAGTCTGCATCCCCCCAACTTGTAGGGAACAGCCAGCGACCCTTTAAAGCCCCACATCCTTGTCTCCACAGACTCCTTTGGAGGTTTACCCTACTCCCCGCGCTCTAGATTGTCCATACCTTTCTGTAACTGATAAGGAACGCATGGCAAGTGCTCTCCCACAGCAAACTGGGGTCCCTACCCTCTAAGGAATTCACTCCACTCTAGGTCGGGTCATTCCAGGAGCGGGTCTCCTCCTTTAGCTGCTAGACTTGCACTCTCCATGGGGGAAATGTACTCTAAAAGTGCTGTACTCTAAAAGCCGGGACCAGGTCTGTACCCCAAGAACTGGGGAGAACAGATGGTGGTCGTTCAGACGCAGCTTTAGGACAGGTGGGAGCGGGACCTCTTATCCTCCCAGTTACACACAGCCTGTCGATAGGAATTTAGGAACTGCTTTAGGTAAACATAAAATGGGTAAGTAAGTCTCTCTCTTGGGCTCCTGCTCTTTGAAGCAGCCCCGGGAGAACCGGTCAGGCGTCTCTCTCCTCAGTGCTCTGCGTTTCCTATCTGGTGGTATCTAGCAGTCGGACAGGCGAGGGTCGGCGGCGCTGTGCCCCAAACCTGTTGCGTAGGAACCTGGCCCGAGGCAAAGAAGCCAGAAGCCGCAGGAGCGTCCGCAGCCCCCAGCCTAAGGCACAACGTTTGCTGCCCTTCTATTTTTCCATTCCTAGTCAAGGACTCTCTTTTCAAACCCTCCCTTTCTGGACTGCACTTTCACACCGTGGGTCTCCTTCCCCAAAGACCCAGGCACCGAGATCTCTCAGTCCCTGATCCTTGACCAAGGGGGATTTGAACGTTGAGGCTCAGGCACAAGACACTGGATGGCTCCAAAAACCTGATCAAGGAAGTGGATTTCAGCTGACTACTAAAAGTTATTTATCGTGTTAGGAACCCTTGAAGGGAAGGGGGAAAATAAAACCTGAGGTTAACACCTGGAAAGTCGCTGTGCAGATCAGCCTTCTGCCCTCCGCGGGGCTGATGGATTGCAATGGCCGGGAGTGCAGCCATCTGGACGTCGCAACCCCTTACCCAGGGGCGGGGGGGGGGCGGTCACAGGGACAAGCTAGGGCAAATTTCGCATTGGACCTCAACACTTGTACTAACATTCAACGGAGAAACAAATAGCGCTGGTAACTAAAACCGCACACCTTGTCTGGCTAAAATGCTCGAAGAGAAAATGTGTCTCCGAGATAGAAAAAAAAAAAAAAAGCCCAAAGACCCCGTCCAGGCCCAGCTGAGAACCGGGCGCGAACCACCACCTCCTGCCAGGAGCTTTTCCACATTTCATTGTCTGCCTGGCGTTGCAGCCCTGGCCCGGGCACTCTCACACTGCCAGCCTCAGCCAGGATTTTCCATACATACAGGAGCCGCAGCCCAAGAATTGGCTTGCTGTACTCAGCGCCCTACTGTGCACCTGGACAAGAGGCTAACAGCTCAAACCCTGTCCATTTCGTACACTACGTAGGAACGATGTTAGGCTCAACATAATAGATGAATCTGCGAGAATTCAGAACCTTTCCCTTGCAGGATCCGAAGCGGTTTTGAATTCAATAAACAGACTAGAATGGAAGAAAAACGGAGAGCAGCTTTGTAAGAGCTGCAAACACCACCCTCTTCCCGCTACTGCCAACAACTGGAAGGTTGTTGCAGGCCATTTGGGCCACTTATGCTCCATTGTGAGGATTGTGAAGCTGTTGTGACCCTGAAGCTGGCAGAGTCCCTGGCGCTGGAAGCTAGCCTTGAAAGCGGACTGGAATGCCTAGGGACTGAGGAGCGAGCCTGAGAGTGAGCTGAAGTCTGGCCCCTGCTCCATTTGGACAGTATTTGATCATGACTTAGTGGAGCTTTGATTTTTCAACAACAAGATGCAAATATTTTAATAATCGCTGGAGAAAGATTTCTGTTTCTACTTGAATTAATTGTTATTTTTATGAACTAGCTTAATACAGATTCTGAACATCACCTCAGTACTAAGAAAAGACGTGGATATTAAAGCTGTCATATGAACACATGTGGGGGAGAAAATTGGGACCTCTTCACTGGGGTAAGTAGGATAAGTCTCATGAACAGCAAGCATGTTTGATGACTTTGGAACATTTAAATTGTGACTCCTTTGTGGGTATAGTGCAGAGTGTGTGATTTTAGAATCTAAAGGCATTTTTTAAAATGTGGAAAGCCTGCTTATAAATCTTTATAACTGGGAGAGGCAGAAACACTGAGACTTGGAAATTATTAAGTACTAGAATCCCAAAAGGGAAACCTGGGGTCTTCTCTCAATGGGCACTTTCTGTTCAGGACAAAGCGACTTTTCTCCGTATATAAGTCAGCTCCTGTGGGGTTTGAGCTGATTGTGGTGGAAGACAGTATTTCAGCCTGCAGGGCACTGGAATAATGTCTTGCCTGTGGTTAGTTAGCTCGTTTGCTTGTTTGTTTGCTTGCTTGTTTTAGTAGTGGTTAAACCTAGAACTTCCAGCATGCCGGGCAAACTCTTGCCATCAAGCTATATTCCCAGTCCATGAATGCAGTTTTATACAAGTATTTTACAGTTTTCTCCCAATAACACCATTAAACAAACGGTGAAACCACGGTCTGGAGGGATGAAAGGGCTTGCCCTAAGTTATGCCAAAGCTAAGATTTAGGCTCAGTCCCTGCTCAGTCCAGAGCCTTGCTCCCAAGGGTCAGCTTCATAAGAAATATCCGCGTCCCCTGCTGGAGGACTTGATAAGAGAAATGTTTTATTCTCATTTTCATTCTTTCACATTTTCCTTACTTGTTTTTCTGAGATATAATTCACATAGCATAATTCTCTCCCTCCCTCTCTCCCCTCTCTCTCTCTTTCTGACACACAGCTCCTGCCACATAGCCCAGGCTGGTTTCAAACTCACTGTCCTGCCTAAGACCCTCGAGGGCTAGGATTACAAGCATGTGCCCACTCCTGGATTTTCAAGTCACATATTTTCAAAGTTGGATCAGCATCATCACTATCTAGTTTCACTCCTCACCCTCTTCAGCTGCTTCTCCACCTCCCAGCAACCACCAAGGCTCCTGCCTTTATGAATTTGCTCATCTAAGCACTTCATAGATATGGACTCACACAGGATTTGTCTTTTCTGTCTGACTTCTTTCCCTAATTCAATGCTTTGTGTTCCATCAATGGAAAAGCATGGGTCAGGACTCCATTTTCTTTATGATTGAATGACGTTCCATTGTGTTATTAGACTATTTCTTCTTTATCCACTCATCCACTGCTAGACACTTGACTTCTTTGTACTTTTCTACTACCATACTAAGCGTTTCTAGGAACACTCTAGACTCTCTTTAGCCCAAAGAAGTTCTAGGCTGAGACAAATAAGCAAAGGGCCTCGTGGTCTCATTGCCACTGTGCCCCATGTTTGCTAAGGGATGTTTTGGGCACTCCAACCTCCTCTAGCTAATGTGCTCTGGAATTTCCAAATCACTTGCCAAAGGCACATAGCACCATTGGATCTAATATGAAAACTGACGAATGAACATTTGATATGACGCCAATAACAGTGCAAAAAGTCCTTCAGTCTGAACGCAAATGGGGTATTCTCTGGCTTCACACTCTGAGATGTCTCCCTCCTTATAAGAAGACAATGGAAAACTGTTGAGGACCTGGGTGGGACGCATCTTAGCACCAAGGAGATACTCGATGAATGGTGGCTGTATTTCACGTGATTCTTAGATGGAAAAACAACTTTGAGTCTTGAAGTGTGCTCAGTGGTAGAGCATAAGACCCTGGGTTTCGTGTTCAAAGTCAGCTGCTCCACTGTCTCAGAGTAATTAGTTATCCTTTCTATATCTCCATTTCCTCGCACCAGAATGCAGATAATCTGGAGTTCAGAAGAAGATGCCCACACTTAGAACACTACTCAGAGCCGAGGAGGCACTCAACCAGCTCTGGAAGCTGCAACAAGGGTGATGGAAGCTTCTAGGATTTTGTTAAAGCTGTATTTTATTAGACTTCCATGAGCAGAGGCTCTCTCCGGGAGAGCAGAGACTCTGCACCCTGCTGGCTCAGGCTCCAAGACCTCTTGCCTTTAGCCTGAAATTTCAAACAGGGGTGAGCCAATGGGCACTGTCCAGCATCCCAGCTACTGAGAATGTAACCAATGGAAAGAGTCCTACAGAGGAATTTGTGTTCCCTGCCATCCGAGAAGCTTTCCTGCTATGGTTTCTGTCTTTTTCACAAGAAGAAACACATTATTTCTTGTCACCAGCCAGAAAGAGCACACAGAGTGATGGGCCTATATAGATGGTCAGACCTGTCCACTGCTGCTCAAGTCAGTTCAGACAGGGGAAACTGGGACCCCATGGAACAGGGTTGGAGAACCTGGCCCAACCTAAGAAAACTGGTTCAGGGAGGTGTGGCTACCACTATAGGGCTAAGACTGACTCTCAAAAGAACTGAGCAGGGACTTAGGCAGGATCAAGTCCCTAGATCAGCCAC